TTAAATGTAAATGGTCCAGTCACTCAATTAAAAGCCAGAAATTGTCAAATGGATAAATGCAACAAAACCAACAATATTTTTCTATAAGAGACTCACTATAAATATAAAATATAGGTTAAAAGAATGGGAAAAGATATATCACACAAACATCAGTCAAAAAAAAAAGCCAGAGTTGGAAAAGGTGATAACTGAAATTATAAAGATGGACATTATAGTGAACAGAGTCAAAACCAGACTGTTGGAGGCCTATTTTAAGAAGATGTTGAGATATATTTAGTTCACTCTCATCTTACAACAGAACTTCCTAAATCCTGAGAACACTGCACTCCTATTTTTCATGCTTAACTGGTAAATCTCTGCAGTAGATGTCTAAATTCACTTTCCTTTGGTCGACTTTCACTAATTTCTCCATTTCTTGCCAAAAAAGCCTCTGTTAAGGTTACCAAGGCCCTTGCATACATTAACACCAAAGGTCATTTTCAGCCTTCATTTCACTTGACTTTCGACAGCATGTGACTCTAGTGAACGTCACCCTTCTTGAAATTCTCTCTTCTCATGGCATCGTACTTTCTTGGTTTTCCTCTTCCCTCTTTGCCTGTTCCTTCACAGCTTCCTTTGCATCTTTCTCCTCTTCTACTCAGGCATTATGTACTGGAGTTTTTCAAGCTTCATTCTTAGGCCTTTTCTCTTCTTACTCTATAAACCGTTCCTGTGTGGTCTCAGTCTTACTAAGGGCTTCAAGTCCTAGCTATATAACAGTGACTTGAGTTTTTTATCTACAGTTTGGCACATTGCTTGAATTCCATATCAAGTAGCCTTTTTGACATTTTTAGCTGGCTGTCTTGATGGCATCTCAAACTTAACATATTCAAAATTAAACTCACAATACCCACCGTCACCCCATTCCACTGTTTCTTTCAGTAAATGAAATCATTGATCCATTTCAAAAGCAAAAAACAAAACAAAACAAAACACTAGGGAATTGTTTGACACATCCTCATCTCTTGTTTTTCACATTCAATTGTTTCTTCATACTACAGCCAAAGTGATCTTTTTAAAAAATGCAAACCTGAACATATCATTCTGTTTATAAAGTTTTTTTAATGACCCTTACTTTGCTCTTAAAGACAACAAAGTCTGAGCTCTGCCCTTTCCTCCAGACCATTCTTACCTCAGACTACTCTTGCCTTTGCTATCTTTATTCCAGTTGATTTACAGTTTCTTCCTCACACCATAGAGTCTTTATAGATGTCTGTTCTCCTCTCTTCCTGATATGGAACACGACACTCCACCATTCCTGGATACCTCATACACAGTCTTCTGATGTTAGCTTAAGCATCACTGACCCAGAAAACGCTTAACTGATACCTTAGTCTAGGGTAGGCTCATTTGTTTAAAAAAACTCATACAGTTAAGTTCTTTTCTTTCAATGAACTTATCTTGGTTAGTAATCACATATTAATGAGTGTGCTTACATGAAAAATATTTACCTTCACTGTTAAGATTTTAAGTTCGTGAGAGCAAAGATTGTCTCTTTCAGCTCACATGGCACCCCCAGGACCAAAATCAAGCTTGACACAGAACAGATGCTGAATAAATATTAAACTAATGGGTGGAAAAGAATTAACAACAATAATACAAAGAAGGCAGAGCTCAAGTAGAGGCCAGAGAGCTAATGAAGAAAAAATGATAACAAGGGAAACAAAGGAGGTGCGTATTTAAAGAAGAAAGTAGTTGAAGCTTCATATGTCCAAGAAAGATGAAAGGAGATAAGGAACAAGTGGATAAGCAGAGCAAGCACAAAATTTTGGTGCCCTATAAGAAAATAGTATCAGTAGAAAGAGTACATAGACAAAGAAAGTATAGACTGGTTTTCAAGAATGTGTCAGTGAAAAGAAGGGAAGACAAGGCTGCAGAAAGGGCAGAGAACTCAGCTACAGGAAAATACTGATGGTGATCACAGAGCAGGAGTTACATCTTCAAGGTTACAGTAGGAAGCAGAACAAAATGACATGGTTTGAAGCTGAAGACATTATATTAGTAAACAATCTTTTCCTGTGGTGCAATCTCAATTACCTTCTATGAAGATAATGGTAATAAGTTAATAGACAACTTTTTTTGGATTACTAAGTTCAAGGGAAAGTGCGAAGTACTTGAACACTTTTCTCTAGACCTCCCAACATCTCTATTAGGGAGTAGTATCATTATCCTCATTGTACAGTTGAGACCTGAGACCCAAGTCCCCCAATTAGCAACTAACAGAGGTTGAACTTGAATCTATGTATGGCAAATCAGATATATGATCAATTGGCTAACCCAATATCTATTCATTCCTTATTCCCTTGACTCATTAGAGCTTAGGGTGGTCACACAACCCATTTCCAGCTGATGGACTATAAGTGAAAATACATTTGGAATTTCCTTGGAAGCTTTTTCCTTTTTAAATATATAAACATTTAAATATATATTTAATATCTATAATCTATTAAAGTTTTAAAATATTAATAGTTAATAAATATATGATAGAAATATTTAATTTTTTAATGGCGAGCCTTTCAATGATTTATTATATATATAAAACAGATACTGCTGGGCCATCCTATTCTCTGAATGTGATTCCAAATCCTAGATCTAGCTGTCATCTTATCAGGCAGTGGTAGAGAAATTACAGAGAAGTTGAACCACTAACCTAATGACAGTAGCCATCTACTTCTAGACTTCTCTCTGCATGAGAAAAAAAAAATTGTCTTAAACATGTTACTCAAGTTTTCTCTTATTTACACTTGACTCTACTTCTAATGGATGTAACTGCAAAGCCCAAGCTCTTATCTACCAAACTAGATCACCTCTCATTTATGAAATTGAAAGATTAACCTCCCTCAGAGAGTTCTTAAGAAGTCAGAAAATGCATATAAAACTGTCTTGAAAAATAGAAGTTACAAATTTATTATTATTAATTTATTATTTACAAATTTAAGAATTTATTTTTAATTTATTCTTCTTTTATTATTACAAATTTATTATTCTTTTCAAAACAGTGATCCTCAACTATCCAGGGAATAGTTTATTATTTATTATTTGTTTATTACTATTCTTAAAACAGTGATCCTCAACTATCCAGGGAACAGACTGGATAGCATATATCCCACTGAAGCAAGGGATTAGGCAGCAGTGTGCTAGGACACATCAGAACCTTGTGGGGAGCGTTCACACTACACTCATTCCATTTTGAGAATTACTGCCTAAATGAACCTCTTCTCATAAGCAAGATGATGCACATACCCTGTAAATCTTCTCAGAAAGTTGAGAAGGGAAGCTTTATTATGATCATGAGGTATATTAATCAGACCTTCATTAAGATCAATAGCTTAATAATTGGTAAAAAAAAAAAAAAAAGAAAGAAAATGTTTTGAGTCCATTGGGAAATAATCCCACCTTACCAAACTTTCTCAAAACATAAGTAATTATTTTCATATGAATAACAGAATGAGCAATCAATAACAGTATGACCCAACAAAGCTGACATAGTATAATATAATATTAACCAATGGGATCAGAGAACTAGCAGGAAGAAATCTAAATATGTTTTAAAGAAATACTAGAATGAATTCCAAATACTTATACAAATCTTTATGAAGGTTTCCTCTTCATTTTAACTTCTCTTATTTGAGGTCTAATTTACTACTCAGTCATTAAGAAATTAACAAAGTAATTTTAAAAATTGAACTCAACTGAATTCACATCTCAGATCTCAAATAACTAGTTTGCTCATTTACTGGATTAAGTATTAGAAACTCTTCATTCAATAATCAATTGCTGAGCACCTACTATGGGCCAGACTGTTCTTGGCACTAGAGTGCCTTTACAGCTGTGAAGAAAATACCCCAAACTGCTTGACTTTTATGGAACTTATATTCTATGAGGGTAAGTAGCAAAATAGACAACAATAAATAAATAAAACACAAAATGTGTAAGTTGCTCCGTGCTATAGTGAAAAAAAAATAAAGCAAGGAAGGTAGAAGATAGACAAGCAAGAGGAGGTGAGAATGAGTCTGTAGGGTGAGGGAGGGTTAGTGGTTGCAGTTTCAAATACCATGGCCATAAAGCTTCATTGGGATGCTGACCCTTAAGCTACTACTCAAAGGAGCTGAAAAACTAAATCACAGCTATGCATCTATTTACTTTATGTTAACTCTTTTTCTGTTGAATATATCATTTGAAACTTGTCAATAGCTGAATGGCAAAATCATACTGTTTTTCGTTACAAGTCACCTTGATCCATTCCAATCAAACCAAAAAAGGAAAAAAGACATTCCAATTATTGATAACCCTCTGAATCCCACTGTTGACATATCTGGCTCTTGAGGAAAAAGTTGAAATTGTATTTTATTCCTTTATGTCAGAAATACATTCACTTTTTTATACTCCCCAAACATGTATTTCAAGTGGAAAAAAAAATTTTGTTTGGTGTTAAATGAGCCCAAATTTTATCATGGGCTAAAATTTTAAGACATAAAATGACTGCTGAAACTGAATTTTAATCATATAGATGAATCACAACATGCATCTTTAGCTAGGCATGTATTATGGATAAGTCTAGTTTTCTACAGAGAATAATCACATGTTCTAATTACCATTTTGGTTATACGCATAATTAATAATATTCTGTCTTTAATGGGACACACTGGATCTTCAGACAGCTGAAAGCTTTAACTATGCATACTGCCAAACCCAACTGTCAGCTGCACTACCAAACACAAAGGAATCCTGATGTAGTGTTTTAGCACTGATAACAATACGCATATCTTTATACGTGATACAATGCAAAAATTAATTGCTTTCCTTCCTTCAAAATTCTCTCCACACTTAGTAATTTTATGCTGCTTGACTGATCACTTATTCTAAACTAGATATATTGGTGAGTGATCTGATGAACAATAAAAACATGAGTGTAAATGTGACCCAAGATTCAAAGACGAAAAATATAGTGTAGGACTTACTGATTGTAAACTTTCATTTTCACGTAAACAAGCCGTGTGAAGTTCTGATTTCAAGGTTGCAATGTGACTTCGATGAGATGTCATCTCCTTTTCTAATGTTGCAATTCTAGCGCTTGCAAGCTGGTACACATCCAAGAAACTTTTAATCATAGCCTTAAGAAATAAAAATAGTGTCACATACAATTCAAATAAAGCTGTCCCCAAAGGAGAATTTCCATAATTTGAAAGCAAAATCATTAAAATTTTAAAATAAACAACTTTTCATCTTCCTTTAAAATAATAAAGCTAAACCTCACATTTTATATTGAGAACAGTGACTATTTTAAGAAAGTTTGGGAGAAAATAATTGAGATTTCTTTTCCAGAGTATTTATTTAAATAAGGTGTACTTTGATCTATTGTGCTTAAAATTTAGAATGCAGTTTTTAAAGGTGGCACACTTATTTTCTTTGTAAAGTTAAATTCAAGTTGTAATTTGACCTAAATTTCAATCTTAATACACACAGTAGATGGATATATAAGCAAGCTATTTTGAAATAAGCTTAGTATAATTTTCAATCCACCTAAAAAGCAAGTGCTTTGAAACAAAAGGAGCTGAAGTAATCCTGTGAATAAGAGTAAATATTATAATTCCTGTGTTGTAAGAAAAGTATAATTATGTCCTTGCATTATACTAGATACAATAAAATAAATAATATAAACAAGTGCTGGTAATTCTTTCTCTTTAGTGTAATATTTGGGGGAATTGTTGGGTCTCTGTACCACAGTGTAATCATATTTTGTAAACTTTAGCTTCTAAAGGAACCTATAGTGAATTTTAAGTCCAAGAATACTAGTATATCTTTTTTTAAGTCTTTCAAAATACTTCAAGTACAGTAAAGTAAAATCAAACATTTCAAAGACATGTCCAATACAGTGTTATATTATTTATAAGAAAAGCATGTTCCAACCACAGCAACAACTTAGAACAATGGTAGACAGTCTGAGAATTTCCAAATTATATTCAATCTGAAGAGTGGTTTGAGAGAGCTTTACAAAACTAGATATTTGGGTATATGCATATGAAATAATCTGGTGAACAAAAGTAAGAAACAACACATGCAATGTCTGAGAAACAGAAGTAGGTATTACTTGTATAATTGTTAAAATTCATATCTTTTTGCCTAATGAATGTCTATTTGCCCTCAAAAACCCAGTTCAGAAACCATCTCTTTAAAGAAGCCTCTTTTGAGCCCAAAGGCACTGTTAACTTCTATTCTGGTTCTCTGTGGGTCCCTCATGCTTGCATGCAATTTTTCTCTTATTGCTTTGGCAGAAATGCATTCGTTTACATGTTTATATTCACTACACCAAGGAGATACCTAGACCAGATGGTGTGTGCCAAATCTTTGTATCTTCAGGGATGGCCTGAATGACTGACTGGAAGGAAGGAGGAAGAGAGGAAGAAAGAAAAGAAAAGGAAAAAAGAAAAAGTCTGTAAAAGGGGGAAAGCCACAAGTTGAATAGGCATGTTCAACTTGGGAAAAAAAAATGCCTTGGGAAAATATAACATTAACACCCTAACAAATAAATTACTGTCTGTGTGTGCTAAGTTGCTTTCAGTTCAGTTCAGTTCAGTCGCTCAGTCGTGTCCGACTCTGCGACCCCATGAATCACAGCACGCCAGGCCTCCCTGTCCATCACCAACTCCGGGAGTTTCCTCAAACTCATTTTAATCATGTCCTAATAAATTGCTAACCATACTTTATTCAAAGTCAGAAAAAGAAGCAAAAGCATAGCTGTCGGCATAAAAAGACAGAGTACACAAAAGTGAATTCTATTACCCAATACGAAATAAGCATGGTACAACTTCATGTCTGGGAACATTTCACATGCCCTCTCACATCTCACATTCCTTATCTTGAGTCATTTCAAGGTAAGATTAGGGCTAATGCTAACACAAAATATTTCCCTAGATTTCAAAAGTAGATAAAAATCAGAAATTATAAAATCATATGTTTCTTCCTACACTAAGTCTCTCTCCACTTTTGTAAATTCATTCATCTTCTCCATTGAGATGGAAGACCAGGAATTAGAAGTCATATTAATATCTTTTTTTCTGGTCCTCACGCTGCCTCTTACTTAGCTTTATCTTGTTGGGTCATGTCATCTCTCTGAGTCTCCGCCTCCTCCCTCCATAAAAATTGGAAGAAGAGGCCTTTTCTTGCTTATTTCTAAAACTGTTGTAAGGATCAGATGGGTAAAAATCTAATACAAGGCTATTCTCTTAACCATTCAACTAATACAAAGCCATTCTCTTAACCCTTCAATTACATTGCCTCTCCAGTAAAAAAGAAAAAAAAAAAAGCCCTCTAAAAAACAGTGAACTAGTGAATTTCATTGTATTATTACCACTGTTCTAATTTTAAATTCTCCACTAAGATCTTAATGAGACAATCTGTGATAGGGGGCTCATATACATATGCTCTTGTTATATAAGAACGAAAAGGCATGAAAACTTGCATAAATGCTTTTTAATAAAAAGAAGAAAGTACCATTCTATTAATAATAGGCTCCTGGATTATTATTTCAATGTAAGTCATAATGGAACCAGCCTGTAACATTTAAAGATAAAGTTCAACATTTGAAAAATTATCCTATTTCTTAAATTTGGAGAAATACATCTCATGGATTCTCATATACATGATATTCTAAAATGAATATATAATATAAATGACATTCCTTCAAATCTTTTTTTAAAAAATAAGATACTTTTTTGAGAAGTTATGTCTGAATTATTATATGATAGATAGAACAAAAGTCGTAATTATTTTGGCTCATTCCTTGATCTACTTTTAATAACTAAATTCTAAAATTTGGGGCAGTATTAAGAAAAACCACATATTATTCTTTACAACATTAAAAAGAATAAAATAATAATCTTACTTTTTGCTTAAGATTTAGAATCATTAGCATTTAAAATCATTAAAGCAGTATTTCATTTGAGAGACGAAAGCATATAACACTGTGTAGGGTATTTTTTCAGAGCGGCAAAGATACAGTGATCAATATAGAAAGTATGTTTCATGGAACTAGTGCATGTAAAATATACTACATGCTTCTAAAATGAAAACCTCCTTCAGAATTGAAAGGCGGGGAGGAGTATCAATGAAATGGCAGAGCTATTCAAAGACGCCACAGCTCTTTTGAAGAATAAAGAACGTTAACTTCCAGTATTAAAACGTGATTCAAACTATGTTATAAAGGAGGCCAGGGGAAAAAAATCCAACTTTTTAATATAAAAGAAAGGTACCAACTTGGTAGAAGAAATGGAAATGGCAGTCGGAATCAAGTGAGGGGGTGGGAGGAGGAGGAAGTGAACATCTAATGACCTCTCTATCAATCTCCTAAAGTCTAGCCCTTCATAGCACTCCTCGCTCTGGATTAAAACATCACCCCTTTTTACAATAGGAAACAATGACAGAGCAGCGTGATGCTGTGAACAGCATGCCCAGCATTTGAGAATTTATTCCATGTCATCTTTAGCCCTTGGGATTTTGACTACACGATGCCATGAGATACGAATCTCAGTGGGCTTTATCGAGTTACACGAGAAACAGAACAAAAAGCAGTTTCTGGACAAAAATAGGCTTTTGATTTAGAGATAATCTATTGTGTTTATAATCAGCATAACACGATGAGAAAGTACAAACATAAAATTTCACATCTCTTTTAAGGAATAAGTGTTTTAGAATAAATACAATTCTGAGATACTGTCATTTGTACTAGTATATTATTTATATAATTTGTTATGCACATATTATATAGCTTTGACTGACTTCAAAATCAGACTTCAGGGAAAGTGGAAGTCTTAGGAAGCTGATGCTAGAAGGAACAATTAATGAAAAATGTCATAAGGCCGAGATCCCAACAGAATGGTAAATTTTCTATTTATATTTCCAAGTAAGTAATTGGGTTGCAAGAACCTGACATTTTACTTTAAATTATGCAATTATGGGTATATTTCACTTTTATATACTATGTAAATAAACCATATAAAACAGATACACCAGATAAATCAAATATGTGAAAACAATATATCTCCATAAAATAGGGAAAATGGATCCCACCTCATAAAGATTATGTGTGTGTGGGGGGGGGGGTAAATGAATTTAATACATGAACAGACAGTAAATATCTGGCACACGACAAACACTCAGGTGAATGTTAGCTATAATAATGTTAGCTATAAAAATGTTAGCTATAATAATGACAGTGGTATCAGGAGAATTACTATTTTAACTCATAAAAGAAAGACTCTGTTTCTGAGGGGTATTATTGGGCATAAGTATTTTAAATATAAGATATTCTATACATATTGAATATATTAATTTTTTTCAAACATAAAGAATACTAAAGGCTAATGAATGTTTACTTCCTAACAACAAAATGTCTCACTGAGAGTAAAAGGTACTATTTAAAGAAAAATACCTATGGCTGATTTATGTTGAGGTTTGACAGAAAACAACAAAATTCTGTAAAGTAATTACCCTTCAATTAAAAAATAAATATATTATTATAAAAAGAATAAAGTAATGCCATTTGCCAAAATACAAATGGACCTAGCAATCCTCATACTGAGTGAAGTCAAACAGAGAAAGACAAACATCGTATGATATTGCTTACATGGGCAATCTAAAAAATAGGGTACAAATAACTTATCTACAAAATAGAAATAAAGTTGCAGATATAGAAAACAAATATATGTTTCAGTTCAGTTCAGTCCCTCAGTCTTGTCTGACTCTTTGTGACCCCATGAATCACAGCACGCCAGGCCTCCCTGTCCATCACAAACTCCCAGAGTTTACTCAAACTCATGCCCAACGGGTTGGTGATGCCATCCAGCCATCTCATCCTCTATCGTCCTCGTCTCCTCCTGCCCCCAATCCCTCCCAGCATCAGGGTCTTTTCCAATGAGTCAACTCTTCACATGAGGTGGCCAAAGTATTGGAGTTTCAGCTTCAGCATCAGTCCTTCCAATGAACACCCAGGACTGATCTCCTTCAGGATGGACTGGTTGGCTCTCCTTGCAGTCCAAGGGACTCTCAAGAGTCTTCTCCAACACCATAGTTTAAAAGCATCAATTTTTCGGTGCTCAGCTTTCTTCACAGTCCA